ACTACAGGTGCCTGCCACAACACAACACCCAACTATTTTTAGAGACAGGGTTTCCCTCTTGCTCAGACTGATCTTGATCAAACTCCTGAGCTCAGGCAATCTACCCGCCTTGGCCTCCCAAAGTGATAGGATTACACGTGTGAGCCACCATGACTGGCCCTTTACCTCTCATTAAAAAGTGTGTTCTTGGCTTGTGGTTGGAGTGGTATGTCCACCCTGTCAAAATGGCCACTGCAGGCTAAGATACCCTCTCAAGAAATAAACTCCTCCAGCTCGGCGCCTGTAGCTCAGTGGCTAGGATGCCAACCACATACACTGGAGCTAGCAAGTTCAAACCCAGCCTGGGCCTATCAAACAACAATGACAACTACAACCCAAAACTAGCTCGGCAGCATGGCAGGCACCTATAGTCTGCCATGTAGAGAAGCCAACACTAGGGCAACTGCTAGCACGTGCCCCTCCTGCGTGCGTGGAAGAGGCAGTGAATCTAATTATTAGCCAAACAACCCAGAAAGGAGCAGACACAGCAGTTCTCAGGCTCACAGAGAACTGGGATCAAGCCACCTTCCCAGCAGCTGGGATGGAGGAACTTTGCCATGTCTGCACATCAGTCTGACCTTGCCAGCATGGCAATGCCACAGTTGCCCCAAACTGACAGCTGCTCTGTGCCCTGTCTCAAGGGGCTTCCAAGGAAGATTTGAAAGGATCAAACTGTTCCCAATAGTTAACTGTGCCTTGGAACAAATTGCAAAAGTATTTAAAAGTGTACCAATGTTTTAAAAGTCTGTAATAAACAATCTAAAATTCAACCCAAAGCCACCCACAGAACACTCGTTAGCATATAAAGGAATGAGCTATGGATACACACAGCAACATGATGTTTCTCAGAATAGTTATGCTGACTGAGAGATGCCAGACTCGCTCTCAAAATAGAGCGTGCGCGTGACTCCCTGTGCATAAAACTCTGAGAAATGAAGATTGATGGGTGCCAGAAAGCTGCTTGTTGGTTCTGTGGCCCAGGGTTTAGGGTTGGATGACTGTTTGGAACTTCCTAGCTGAGAGAAATGCTCCTTATGTCAATGTGAGGGTGATTCCACATGTCAAAATCCATCAAACTGAGCACTGTTCCTGGTGACTGTGGTGACTTCAAAGACGATCTGCTGGGACAAAAACCTAAAATGCAGGGCAGGCTGCGCACCCAGGGCAGTGGGCTGGGAGGAGCGTGCTGGCCAAAGTCTGAAGGGTTATGGTGACTTGAAGCCTCACGGTTGTTGGCCAGGCTGCAGGGGAGGACGGACGGGGAGGGTAGGGACACGTGTGGGAGCAGGAACGGCAGCAACACTGTCACCTGCAGTTATGTGAAAAGTAGAAAATTCACCCAGTGAACTGGGTGGTACAGCTGCACTGTGTTGAAAGTGCCGGCTGGCTCTGCCTGCTTTTAGGAAAATGTGAAAAGAGGGAGATAAAAAACTTGATATCCCCCCAGTTCTAATAATGAAATGTAGGGAAAGAGGCATGTCTCCTATAAAGCTATGGGTTCAGCCACTGGCCCCTGAAGTAAATTAAAATCAAATACACAACAACAAAAAACCACCCACAGTGTTGACAGAGCTGTATTTGCAAAAGCACCAGCTCCAGCTGGGCGCAGTGGTTCCAGCCTGCAGTCCCTGCACTTTGGGAAGCCAAGCTGGGAGGATCACTTGAGCCCACAAGTTCAAAGTTGTAGGGAGCTGTGATGATGCCCCTGTACTCCAGCCTGGGTGGCAGAGCAAGACCCTGTCCATGAAAAAAAAAAAAATTACTCAAATGTTCACAGCAGCTCAGTTCGCAATTGCAAAGAGGTGGAAACAACCCATCAACACACGAATGAATTAACAAGCTGTGGTCCACGTATGCTGTGGGATACTATTCAGCCACAAAAAAAAATGGCGACTTTGCATCTTTTCAATTTACCCGGATGGATTTGGAGAATGTTCTCAGTATCTCAAGAATGGAAAAGCAAGCATCCCATGTATTCAGTACGAATTCTAAAACTAATAGACTTACAACTACAGGCCCACAAGAGCCCACATAAGAGAAAAACAATTAAAGTCAATAAGGGGGAGGGCAGGGGCAACTCGGCAAGCTGCCACCTAATGGGTACAAGATAGGGGGACAGGGCACACTTCTCGAGTGAAGGACTCAACTCCAACTCAGACTTTGGACTTGACTTTACAAATGCAAATAATGTAACCTAATAGTATGTACCCTCAAATTAACCCGAAACAAAAAGTAAAAACTCTAAAACCACTGACTGATGTGACTCCATGTGCGGGACAGCCTCTGGGCCCCAATTTTCTGCCAGCAGAATATAGGCTGGAGATGCATCATCTGGGTCATCTTTTCTAACATCTTTGGAAGTGGCCAAAGTGAGGAGGAACTTGTGAAAAGGGAAGGACATCACAGAAGACGGAGACCCCACACAGGGGGCACACCCAAGCCACAGAGCCCAGCATGCTGCCGTCCCCCAGCAGAGAGACTGGGTGATTTTCAGGGGTGGAGTTGCTGTGGGAGTTTTTACCACAGGTCTGGGGCTCCCCTGTCTGAGCGCACTGGGGTCCAACAGCTTCAGCACAAGGCGCTGGGATTGTAATATCGTTGTAATGCCTGACACACACTGATCAGATGGGACTTTGGGGGACCCACAGTGGAAGATGGGGTGAAGATCTGTCCTGCTCAGAGGGGATGTGAACTGTCGAGGCTGTGCTGAGAGTGGGCACCCGTGGCGTTCAGCCCCCACCCCCCACCCTGTTGAGGTTGTGCGTGAAAGTGGGCACCTGTGGTGTTCAACCTCCACCCCATACCCATGCTTCTTACATGCCCCAGCTCTGCCTTTGGGCTGGGTGTCCTGTGGGTGGAGCTGAGCCCACCCATCTGGGTGCTCCCTAAGTCAACTAAACTCCAGTCAGACCCCAAACACAAGAACAAACCCGGTGGAGGTCAGTAGAGCTGCCCAACAGAGCCGGGCCTAGGGCTCAGACCATGCTGACCCACAAATGGGACCAGGTGACGGTCACGTTTCCCAGGACTGGGATTTGGCAGCTGGCTCCAGGCTGACTGGGCAGCCCTGTTACCTGCTCCTTAGAGGAGGTCACCTGTGCCTGTGACTTTGACTACTAAGTACAGATCAGGGCTTCAAATCCTCATAACCACCAGGTCTCTCCCCACATGATGTCTCTGTTGGGGCATCTTGAAGATGCTGTAAGCCCAAGGTCCCGACCAGGCCCCATGAGGCCCCAGCTGCTTGCACACCGCAGTCCCCTGACCCTTCCCACTCCAGGATCTTCTCAAAAGCTAGTTCCTCATCAGGGGTGCTGTCTTGCTCCCTCAGTGCCACTGCCCCTCAGTCTCAGTAGGAATGCCACTTCCTCTAAGAAGCTTACCCTAGGCCTACTGCTGTGGCCCATGCTATCCCCAGATACCTTTCTCAGGGTTAACACTGTGTGTTTGGGTGACCACAGTCATCTGCCCCTCCTAGCAAAGCACCACTTCTAGTGCCAAGCTGGACCAGCTCCCACCCTGGCCCAGAGGCTAGCTTGGTTCTGGGCACACAACGGGCTTCCTGAGGAAGTGTCAGGTGTCAGGAGCACAGAGGCAGAGGCAGTACAAAGGGCAGGCACAGGACCACACTGCACTCCCGTGGTCTATTTCACAGCAGCATGCCAGTTGGGGGTGGGGGGGCACTTGGGAGGACACAGGGGAGGGGGCCCTCCTTCCTCATCCTCGGAGGTCGGAGCCCCTTGAGTTTCACACTTTCAATGGCCCAGGGTCACCAAACACTTCTCAACAAGCCACTGAGAAGAAGACCTGTCATCTGGAGCAATGCTGTGGGGTCTGGGAGGACCAAAAGTCAAAAGGAAAGAACAAAGGATGCTGGCTCTCAAGGCAGGATGGTGTATGCACAGGACGCTGCGGGAGGAAAGGGGCTGTGAGCAGGCTATCTGCTGGGGGCAGGGGGCACCCCTGCCACAAGCCTGGGACCCCCTAACCAGACAGAGCACTCATGCCACTTCCACCATCTGCACACGGTTGGCCAGCACAGGCCAGGGATCGTTCAGGTGCGCCTCACGGCTTGCTGCAGGCCTGTAAAAGCCTACCCAGGAAAGATGGACCCTTTTGTGGCTCCCTCCACCATGCTGATAGGAGGCCAAAGCCCGGAGGTCAGAACTTACCATCTTTTGGGAGGACCACTGCAGTCTTGGTAAGGGCCAAGATGTCACACCAGTCCATGAAGTCTCTCAGATTCTGGAAACTCGACACATTCTGTCTATCTGTGAAGTGGGACGGGCATCAAAACCACAGCATCAGACACTCCAACCCTGGCCATCTGGGGGGTCAGCATGCAGACCCCTCTCCTTGGAAAAGTAACTCACGAAAGGCAGCCGGCTGCATGCTGACCCCACTGCTTAGAAAAGTGACCCCCGGGAGGTGGCCAGGTGCACAGCCGTCTACACGGCCAGGGCAGCCACTTCTCTACTCACATGGTGCCCTCTGACCAGCTGTGTCCTAAACATGCCCACCCTGGACTGAGACCCAGGACCACTCCCATACCACCTTCCCCCCTCCAGTCTCCCCAAAACTTTGGAAGCTGCACCTGCCATCACCCTGGTGACCTTCCCAACACATAGATAGTCCACCATCTGCTGTGGCCTCTCACTGCCATAGTGACCTCCCCCTCAGATGCTCTCCCACCCCTACAGGCTACCTGCAGGCCCGCCACGGTGGTCTCCACATCCACCACCCATCTACCATCCATCTGTCACTTCTGCTCAGCTGCCCCTCTGTATCCTCTCTGGCCCCCAGGCCTCCCCTCCTCTCCCATTCTCCTGCCCCCACTCACGGAGGAGCAACAGGGTCCTATGGGTGATGGCCACCCTCCCCAACTGCAGATAGACCAGGCCGTAGCTGTAGTCGGTGGCCAGCACTCGGAAGGCCTTCACCCCTCTCACTGGAAGAGAGCCAGTGGACACAAGGCCCTGCCACACCCAGCCCTAAGCTCAGGGCACCCGAGCCCTCAGATCCAGCTATGGCAGTTGTCCAGAGGGAACAGGTGCCACATCCAGTCTCACCTTCCAGGCTGGGAGGCCCAGAGCCAGCCTGACCACCTACTGGCCACTGCTCTGGGGCCAGGACCCCTCCCCCACCTTCCTCCCAACCCCTCCATACGCACAGGTGTTCCTGAACACAGTCTTCTTTCTGTCCCTCTGCAGGGTCACCTCCTGTGACTGGCACCCCTGTGGCCTGCGGGAGGGAGGGAACTGCAGCCTTGGGCCTGGAAAGCCCCTCCTCATGCCCTGAGGCCATTGAGACCCCCAGGAAAATGTCTAGGTCTGGGCTCGGCACCCCTAGCTCAGTGGTTAGGGCACCAGCCACATACACCAGGGCTGACAGGTTTGAACCCAGTCCAGGCCCACTAAACAACAATGACAACTACTACAACAACAACAACAACAACAACAAATAGCCAGGAGTTGTGGCAGGTAGCTGTAGTCCTAGCTACTTGGGAGGCTGAGGCAAGAGAATCACTTAAGCCCAAGAGTTTGAGGTTGCAGTGAGCTATGACACCATAGCCCTCTACCCAGGGCGACGAGTGAGACTCTGTCTCAAAAAAAAAAAAAGAAAAGGGAAGGAAATGTCTAGGTACCTCTTGCTTCCCACGAACCTGGAGATGATGGGAGCTTGGGGATAGCGGGGGTCTGGGGGTGGTGGGGGTCCAGGGGGTGGCAGGGTCTCGGGGTTTGGGGCCTGGGTGTAGTGGAGGCCTAGGGATAGGGACTGGGTATGGTGAAGCCTGAGGGTGGGGTCCTGGGGGTGGTGGAGGCCTAGGGTAGTCTGGAGTGGGCCTAGGTGGGGAGAGCCCGGGAAAGTGTCAGGGCCTGGGGGGTGGAGGGTCTGGGGGTGGTAAGGCCTGGGAGGGGTTGGGCCTGGGAGATGGTGGAATCTGTGGGATGGCAGGGCAGTGGGGAGGGGGCTAGAGCCTGGGGTGTGGCGGGCCCTGGGGGAGGGAGGGCCTGGGGTGTGACTGGACCTAGTGGAGGGAAGGCCTGGGGTGGTGGGGTCTGGGGGGTGGCAAGGCCTAGGGGTAGTGGTGGCTGTGGGGGCCTGGGAATGTTGGGACGTGGCGGGTAGGGGTCATGGGGGTGGTGGAGGCGAGCTCCCAGAGTTTGCTTCACCCTCATATCAACTAAGGCTCTGATTCAGGGCTCCTCCATCAGACCAGGGCCTGCAGCACTGCACAGGGAGACACTCTAAACACCCACTGGCTGTGGACTCCACCCTGAGCTGTAGGCAGCTTCTGCCCAAATCCATCCTTTGAGTTGTTGGGGGAGAGAGTTAGGGACAGTCCTTCTGAGCTTCCAGACTGGCCAACAGGCCCAGCTTCCTGCCTAATGCCTTCCCTATCCTGCCTCCTAGAAGGGGGTGCCCCTTGTCCATGAGGGGCTGCTGGGAGCCGCCCGTGCCCACTCACCGGCTAAAGGCAGTGACCACCTTGAGCTGGTCTGTCTTCTTCACTCTCACTACAGATGCCCCCAGCTTCCTTTTGTCTCTGGCCGGCAGGAATCCCTGTGCATCACTGGCCACTGCCAGAATGTACCAGAACCCTGAAAACTGCCCAGGGGGTGTTGGGGGTAGGGCAGGTGCAGAGCAGCTGCTGAGGGGGTCATACCCCCTTGAGGCTTTAGCAAAAGAACCCACCAGACAAGGGACCCTTCCCAGAGGCCCAGCCATTACCTACACGGGGTCAAGCAGGTATGGAGAGTCAGCTATTCCCACTGAAACCCCAGCCACCAGCAGGCAGGGCCTGCTCCCAGGGTCCACTCACCATGGTGCAGGAACCTTCTGCCGGCAAGCCCGCCCCCTTACCCAAAACACAGCTCCCTGTTCTGTATCCCCTGCCCTCTCTGGGCCTCTCTACCCTGCCCCTCCTCAGGGCTCTGGCCCCTTCACTGTGTAGTTCACGGGACCCGTGTGCTATAGTCATAGAGAGAGAGGCCAGATGGGTAGCCTGCTGGCCCCAGGAGCCATGCTTGTTCCCAGATGGCTTCCCTGCCACTGTTCCCAGCCCTGCAGGCTTGTTCCCAGATGGCTTCCCTGCCACTGTTCCCAGCCCTCAAGGCATATGGCTCACCTTGTCCCAGTTGACAGTATGGGCCTCCTTGGAGTGCCACTCCTGTGGCTGGGAACCCCTAGCCAAGACCAGGACCAGCAGCAGGACTGGCAGCCCCAGCCTCATCCTCACCCTCCTTCCTCACCCACCCAGGGCTGGACACTGCATTTAAGTCTCCCTGTGCCAGCCCTGTGGTGGGCGTCTGACCCACCCCAGAGCCCCGGACCAGACAGGGTTGGGCCGGAGGTAGGGGGTGGAGGCAGTAGGTGTGGCTCTGGCCTTGGGCCCCCAGGCACTAAGCCTTGGCACAGCCCTGCCACCTCAGATCTCTGTCTAAAGACAGAGTCCATCACATTCCCAGAGGCCACACTGAGTTCCAAGACTCTTACCCTCCTCAGCACCCTGACCCTAGGTCGCCACGTGTGCACCCCATTATACCTGGGAACCATGTCACCTGGGCACCCTGGGCCTCTCATTCTGAACCCTCCAGGTGAGAGGCAAAAGGCCCAGACCCTTCTAGGGCAGCATGCATGTGGAGAGTGCTCCCACAGCTGCCCCAGCCCAGACCCTCACCACCTCCTCAAGGGCCTCCCTCAATGGCAGTGCCCAAAGCAGGTGCCAGGATAGGCCAGACTGGATGGGTGTGCACATGTGCAATGGGTGCTCCCATGTGCAGGCGTGTGCCAGTCCCACCTTAGGGATTATGGTACCTTGTGTGCACCTCACCTCAGTACCAGCAGCAAAGACACTCCCCCCACTTCCCACTCAGCAGCCCCTACAGCTTATGCTTCTCCCAGGACTTCAGGCAGTACCCCCTCCGGAATGCAGGAAGACCCCAAGTGCAGGCCCTCCAGGGTCCCTAACCCCTATCCTGGAAGCAGCCAAAGCACTAACCCAGAGACAGCTGAGCTTGGAGAGCTGGGATCCTCTCCCAGCCCACACAGGCAGTGCCAGCGCTGGCTGCA